AATTCTACGGAGGTGCACCCCTCCTAAGTCTGGTGCAATCCCTCACTATATGGAGAGTGTCGCCACACTCAAAATAACCCCTCGGAGGGTGTGGCTGATGTGACTGACTCGGGCCAGGTCTGCTGGACTGGCCGCTAAAAGCACCCTGGGTAGGAGGCACACTAGATACTGGCCATGCATAATAAGGCTCCTGGGGCCTAGATGGGGCCGGAATACCATTGGCGGCTGGAAGTGCTGAATGGACGGGGAGACTCTCATAGCCCCTACCATGGCGAACTGTAGCTGGGGCACGAGTACCGCTGTAAGTTCCAGACTCTCGAGACCTCTTGGCCTCCCTCTCCTCTCTATCCCGGGCAAGCATGCCCTCCAATCTCCTGACAATACTCACAACCTACTGATAAGAAATATCCATCTCCAACTCCCTGGCCATACTAATCCGGATACTGAGGTGGAGTCCCTCAATAAACCGACGAATCCTCTCTCGAACTGTGGCAACCAAGGCCGGTGCATGTCGGTCCAAATCACTGAAATGAACTGCATACTCTGACACAGTCATAGCACCTTGGCGCAGCTACTCAAACTCCATGCGCCATGCGTCCCTGAGGCTCTGAGGGACATACTCTCCCAAAAATATGTCCGAGAACTGAGTCCATGTAAGTGAGGATGCCTCGTCCGGACTACTCAACTCATAAGCATGCCACCACCGATAGGCTGCTCCTCTAAGCTGGAAGGTGGTAACAGAAACCCCACTCGTCTCCGCTACGCTCATAGTACAGAGAACACGATGATATTCCTCCAGAAAACCATGAGCATCATATGTAGCCAATCCGCTGAAGGTAGGTGGGTGGTACTGCTTGTACCTCTCAAGTCTGTGCTGCTCCACCTCAGAAGCGGTTGTCCTAGTCTCGTGCTGAACCGGAGCTACCGACTGCATAGGGATGAACTCTGGGGCCTGGTCGACCTAAGCTCGCTGCTCTAGAGTATCAGCGACAGGTGTCTATGCTCCTCCCCTAGCCTGAGATATGGCAGGAGCAAGTGTAATCAATCCGTCCTGAGTTAAGGAGCTGAACATGCTCAGAAACTGAGCTAGAGTCTCCTAGAGAGATGGTGCAGCAATAGGCACCGGACTGGAGCTACTGGGGGCTCCTCTGTAGCAGCTCGTGCGGGTGCTCTGGCTGCACCGCGTGGACGTCCTCGGCCTCTACCCCGGCCAGAGGCCTCTCGCGGCTCTAGCAGGGGGCGCGGGTGCCTGGTCATCAGATCCGCCTGTACGTGTCCTCACCATCTGTGAGAGAACAGAATATAGAAGTTTAGAATTTTTGATGTCAACAAATTTCGCACGACAAGGAATCAAAGAAGTATATTTTTTCCTAATAATTCCATAGCCTCCCAAAGATAAGTACAGACGTTTACGTACCGATCCACAAGACTCTAATAAACCGGCTTGTGACTCACGACACCTATGAACCTAGAGTTCTGATACCAACTTGTCATGACCCAAATTCCCTCTGTATAATATCGTGACGGCACCTAGTCTCTACGATTAGGTAAGCCTAACAAATTGCGAAAATACCAGTACGAAAGTAAAACTTATCAACTAAATGCAATAGATACTGAATAACCAATAACAATGCCGCTCGGCATGTACAACAATCAAAACGTTAGACGTACGCACCTTCTCAAAATCTGGAACATCATGAGTCATAAGATACAGAAGGAAAACTAGTATCTCTATACACCAGAGTCTAATTAAAGAAGTACGAAAGGTAAATGACATAGGAGAGAATAGAGGGGGACTTCGAGGTCCGCGGATGCGGCAGATGTACCTTAAAGTCTCCGTACAACAACAAGCACTCTCAGCTAGTAGCGAGGTTGATAAGAAGTATGTGGATCTACACACAAAACATGTGCATAAGAGTAGCATGAGTACATCACAATGGTACCCAGTAAATACCAAGCATAACCTCGGTAGAGTAGTGACGAGGTCAGGTCCGGGCCCTACTGAAATATAATAACAAGACAAATGATATAATAAAATGAAGTAAAACGGAGAATTTAACAGAAAGAATTCACAGAGGAATAACAACATACAAACAATGTGATAACAACAGGGGCTCTCCCGAGACACCGTCTCGTAGCCCCAAAAGTAAATATGCGAGGAGATCTCCTAAGGTACCGCCTCGTAGTCTCAAAAATAAATATATATGGAGAACTCCCGAGGTACCGGCTCGTAATCTCAAAAGTAAATGTGCAGGGAGAACTCCCGAGGAACCGCCTCGTAGTCTCAAAAGTAAATATGTAGGGAGAACTCCCGAGGAACCGCCTCGTAGTCTCAAAAGTAAATATGCAATGAGAACTCTCGAGGAACCGCCTCGTAGTCTCAAAAGTAAACACACATCTCAAACCGATAAATACAATAGTTAACAACACGATTTCTACAGTTATACTAATAAAGAACAAGGAAAAAGCAATTAAAGCATGTAGACATGCGATATTAGACTAAACAGGATAGCTACACATATTGAAATAGCTCAATTAAGAAGGAAAAACAGACTAATACTCATTTAAATGGTATAACTCAAATTAAAGGAAAACAGATTACTATTCAGTAAAATAAATCGGGTTTTTTTACAACAAATAGCCTGTGTACGTACTCGTCACCTCACGTACACGGCGCTCACATATCACAACAGTACCAAATCCTAAGGGAATTTTTCCCATAAGGTTAGGCAAGCCACTTACCTCGAACCAAGCTCAATCAATCGGCAACAATGCCTTTTCTACGAATATCTGACTCCGAATGGTCCAAATCTAGCCAAAATCAATTACATATCATAAATATAACTATAAGAAACTAATCTAGTTAATGAAATCAAAGCTAAAGCAAGAAATTAGAAAATCGCCCCAAAAAGTTTCCCCGGGCCCACGCCTCAAAATCGGGTAAAAGTCACAAAATACGAACACCCATTCACTCACGATTCCAACCATATAAAAATTATCTAAATCCGATGTCAAAATCTCAATCAAAACCCAAAAATCTTAGTTGAAGAACTTCTTCCCATTTTCCCCAAAATTTCAACCCAAATCCGAAATTAAATGATGAAATCAATCATATATTAGTGGAATATAGGCATAAAGGAGTTAAGAATCGTTACCCAAAAGCTTTCTCTGAAAATCTCTCAAAATAATCGCCCAATCCGAGCACTCAAAGTCTCAAAATTGGAAATGAGAATTCAACCCTCGAAATCCCATTTTCTGCCCAGCAAAGTACCGCACCTACGGAAAACTCATCACATGTGCGAAATGACTTAAATGGCTGGGACCGCATCTGCGAGCTTTGGGCCGCACCTGCGAGTTTAACTTCTGCATCTGCGACCCTTGCCCATGCCGCCCATACAGCTCTTGCGACCATCACTCTGCATCTGCGGATGCGTAGATGCGACTCCCTTCTCTCACATGCGCTCATAGACCTTCTTGACCAAAAGCGCACCTGCGCCCTTCACTCCGCACGTGCGATCCCGCACCTGCGGTGCGAAAACACCAGAACTCATATAGCTTCAACAATTGCATAAGTCCAAAACTCAATCTGTTAAGCATCCGAAATACACCCGAGGTCCCTCGGGACCTCAACCAAACATACCAACTAGTCTCAAGTCAAATCACATCAAACAACACTAAAAATACGAATCACCCTCCAATTCAAACTTAATGAACTTTGAAACTTAAAACTTCTACAACCGATGCCGAAACCTATCAAATCATGTCCGATTGACCTTAAATTTTGCACACAAGTCAATTTCGATATTACAGACCTACTACAACTTCCGGAATTAGATTCCGACCCCGATATCAAAAAGTCCACTACCGGTCAAAATCTCCAAAAATTCGACTTTCGCCATTTCAAGCCTAAATCAGTTACAGACCTCAAATTAACAGTCCAGACACGCTCCTAAGTCCAAAATCACCCAACGGAGCTAACAGAACCGACCGAACTCCATTCTGGAGTCTTCTTATTGTTATGACTACGGTAAAAAATTCTAAGACTTAAGCTTCCGTTTAGGGACTAAGTGTCCCAAAACACTCCGAAATCAAAAACAAAAATCTTCCGATAAGTCACATAAGCAGAAAAAAATACGGGGAAGCATTTAATAAGGGATCGAGGCTATTACTCTCAAAACGACCGACCGGATCGTTACAAATCTAAACATGCAAGATAATGCGTAAAATAACCCTAAACTTTTTATAGAACCTTTGAATGCTCTTATATAAAATGTGCAAATATTGTATATCTCCAATACTTCTACATCTTCCCCGTGTATAAAAATTCAACTTGCAAAGGACTAAGCAACCGAAGAATCTGCAGATACTTCCCCTGAAAAACCTTCAAACCAAACACCATAGCAACCTAATTATTGCAATAACATCTGGATTTGTGGGGATGCAAAATGAGTTTAAATTTTATGTACCGAAGATGTAAAAGTTATTTACACAATTAGATTATTTTTAAGGTGGTTACAAATTAATTTCCATAATAAATATTAATAATAACGTAGCAAAAATGATAACTAGTTAACTTGCTATAAAAAATTTACCTGCGACACACACACACACATATATATAGGGAAGGGTGGGGTGGGTTAGGTGTGGGTGTGGGGTGGGTTCGTGGGAATGGAGAATAGAGTGGGAAGGTTGATAAAGTATTTTAGAAAATATTTTCTTTTCTCTTGGTAGGGAAAATATTTTTCTCCAATTGAAGAAAAATGAGTTCACGAGGAAAATATTTTTTAAAACATTTAAGCCAACCAAACATAAAAAAATTAAAAAAATCTTCCGAAAAATATTTTCCTTCGTACCAAACACACACTATATATCAAGTTTGCTTATTTCAAAGCTTTTGGTCATCAACTTGGACAAGAAGGAGCGATTTGGAAATTGAAAATATAACACTCGATTTTTTTTAATTTTTGAGTATGTGATATTTTTTTTTTTTGCCAATCATATATTAAAAAACCAAATACATTTAATCAATGATAAAGTACAATTGAAAGACAATTCTGGTGAAATGACCAAAAATCATATCCCAAGTGGGGCAAAATCAACTTCACTTTTTCTTCAATATTCTTGACAAATTTTCCCCCTGAAACTTAAATGAAACATGTTCAATGCACACTTACATAAATTTCAAGAAAACAAAAGTAAAAATCCACATTGAAATCCTTTGGAGACTTGGACGCTTCAACTACTCTTTCCAACTATTCATCGGCAACAAGTAGGACCATCTCAAGGCACTCCAAAACAAAATCTCTTCGTTCCTTTTATTTATGAATTTAACTTATATTCACTTACAGTATGAAATTTTATGCAATTTACTTTTTTTCTTTTTACGAATCGTACTAACACTCAGGAGTGTGAGTATGGTCTCTCCTAGGGTCCCGACAATAATCATACACCTTATAGTTCCTCTGCACCCATAGCATGGCCGCTATTTGTTGGCGGCTCAGCCCACCAGCTCTAGACGGAGAGCTGGAGGGCGAGCGTCCGCACCAGGGGTTCTCATTAGCTGTACAACCAGCAATTTTAAAATTGTTATATTTTCCGATGAATGGTTGGTACCGATAATCGGCTTTAATTCTTCCTTCCTCTGTTGCCCAAGATGAAGCATCCCAAATTGAACCATACACATACATAGGTCTTTGTGGAAATGTAGCATCATTTTTCCTAGGGTATCTTCTGATTGGAACATCGTCGACAAAAAATCTACAAGTCAAAATCAAAGAAAACAATAGCAAAGACACGTTAGAAAAAAAACAACTAGTAAAAGAAAACATTTGCATGGGGCCTAAAGTGAGTTACATTAATGAATGAGAATACTTTTTGATATTTGACAAAAATAGCATAACTATATATTTTATGGATAGATACATATCAATATCTCTTGGCTTGTTGCTATTGAGTTTTACTCAATTCTATGTCTAGTTGAGTAGTTGCTTGTCAATCTTTAAATTAATCTCAACCATTTTGTAGTCGACAACATACTGTTAAACACACATGAATTACACCTTTATATGGAATTATATATGTTGTTCTTATCATGTGATAATTTTTGTTTGTGGAGTTAATTACTATACACTGAAGAATTTTTACGCTATCATATCACTCAAACGTTGTAAAGATTCTTTTTGCCTATCATGTATGAGACGAATCAAATACGTCATATGAATTATATATGTATATATACATGCATGCATGATGTTGATTTAAAGTTGATAAAAACGATATGGAAAAAGAAAAATATAAAAAAGACTAAAATAGACAATTAAATAAAAGACTAACATGATCTCATTGGGATCCCAAAGGATAGCATAATTGTGGTAAGCTTTAGTTGGATCAAACCAAAGGTGAAATTTCATTTCTCTCCCAATAATATTTCCATCTCCACTTCCTCTGATGTATACATTTGTTTGTAAAGTATAAGGCTTATTTGGCGTTGTTCCAAGAAACTCAATATCAATTTCATCATGGTTCCCTGGATAATCTTGATTGTTTGAAAGCTACCACAGAATTCAGGAGGAAAAAAAAATAATGACTAGTATTATATATATAAAAAATAAAAATAAAAATTTATTAAATTTGTTCTCACATAGAAAGAAGTAATAATTCCAGCAGTGTAACCAGGTTGTAGCTTCACAGAAGTGCCAAAATAACCGGAACGATAATTTTCCAGAGATTTAAAGCCACTTCCCCCTGTAATTAAAATACACGAGAAAATCCAAGAAATTAGAAATATGAGAGGCTATTCAAAAAAGATGTGCAATATAAAGGAAATTGAAGATGTGATTAGAAAAATTCTAGTGGAGGGCTATGTTGTGGGTACCCTCTAAAATGTTGTTACACCCATATCGAATCCTTCAAAAATATACCCCTTTTGGAGGATCCAACACGCGCTCGATGATATTTTTGGAGAATTCGAGCAAGGATGATGAAAAGAGATATTTACACACGATCAAATATCGCTTATAATGTAAATAAATCTCTACGATAAAAGTGATAGTTAGTATATTATGACAGGTTAAACAGCATTGATCATGATCGGTGTATATAACTTAGTTGCAAAAATTAATAAGTATAATAATGCATACGAATATATAAAAGAGAGACAAGAACTAAAGACCTGAGGTTTTATCAAGCCATATTGTTAAAGCACTTTGGTCCAAAGATTGATGTTGAGGACCCCAAAGGTTTCTAAAACCCTGGTTAAACCCTAACGATTGAACCTTAGAACTAGGATAGTAGCCAGGAGAAAGGGGACCCTGAGCATTGCTTGAATTGAACAAGAAAATGAGAAGTAAAGAAAGAAGGAATAAATTAGCCATAATTAGAAAGGGAAGAAATATAATCAATTAATGTGGATAAAAATGAGTGCTTTAATTTAGAGACACTGGTGTTGGTGTTGGTGTTGAGATGATGATAGAATTGAAGTGTTGTAAGATTGAAGGGAGAAGAACACATAGAGATGAGTATAAATAAGAAGATTGAGGTCCCACTAAAGAAAATGAATTGATAAGGAGTTATGCATAGAGACAAATATAAAGGAACAATTTTGTGATGCCTTTTCATGAATATGCAAAATCAAGCCATTTTTCAAGTATATAAAGTAGGAATATCTAAAATTTTACCTGTACCCGATATTTATATTAAATTATATATTTCTTACTTTCTTATGATTAAGTAATTTAATGGGGTGAGTACGTATATGTTGACATAAACATTAAATGTGTGTAAGTTCACCCGTTTAACACTCATAATCTAACGAATCACCATGAATTTTTCACAAAACAAGTGTGGTTTATTCAATATTTACTATATATCCCTCTTTTGTTCCTTCCCTTTTCTCTTCCTTGAACCTCTAATATAATAGAAACCTCTTCTTTTAAAAAAAAAAAAAAAAGTGATATGCGTAGTATATCTTTTTTTTTTCCTTCTTAAATTCATCAGCAAAAATTAGTTGGTTAGGATTTCTCGTTATGGGAAGCTAAAAAACAAAGAAGATGGAGGAGGAATTGTCATAAGTGGTATTCTTCTTTTTTCTTTTCATTTTTCATTTTCATTTCCTCATAATTACATTTTTATTATTACCCTATATATATATCCTCTTTTTCGGTTTCGATTTCTTCTTTATGGCACTGCCATTTCTTACGGCGACAAACATTTTACATCAACACTCTTTTCCACATTAAACATGACTTTCATTTAGCTTTGCCTTCTATCCAAATTAAACATACTCACATTTCTTTTTCTTTTTTCCTTTTCAATATTATGCTTTAATTATTATAACTCGGAGTTGACATTATTTTGTATATATCCATTTGGTGTATCCTCTACCTTTTTTTTTTTCTTCAAAAGGATATAGTATTTTTTTTTTTGGGTGTATCCTCTATCATTATTTTATTTTATCATAATCTGAACAAATAATTGGTAATTAATGAAATTGTTGTATAGTGCTACTTTCAATTTCCTTCTCTCATTCTAAAGTGTATGCCAACATTCTATCCGTTGATCCATTATTTTCTTGTGCTGTCCCATTTTGGAACATTGTGTAAAAGCAACTCCTTAATATCAATACTAAATCTATATCATTATTGAAAAAAGCGAAATCTAATTAACTAAGAAGAAATATCATTGAAATTTCGCAAATATCTTTTGTCCACATATATTCAATCTACATAATCAACTGATCAATCCTTAAATGTGGAGCATTTATACGTTCTACTGATCATATATGCACTTCAACAATCTTCGTCACATTGCTTTGAAAAGCATGTTTAAAATGCATTTTCCTCCTCTCTTTAATGACCTAACTTTAGATTAAACTAAGTGGTTGTATTACCTGTAGAGATTGAAACCCAATATATTGTTCAAAAAATTCATCTCCAAACGCCCAAATGATGGGGATCTAATTAAGTTGCCTGTCTATACGGAGCATTCACCTGGAATTCAGGTAATTTGCTTCTAAATGAGACTAGAGATTTCGTGGAAGTATTGATTAGAACTTATAGTTTGTTAGCTGCAAAAATAATTTATTTTGAGATTTTTTTTTTTCAAAAGTGTTTTTCACAAAAATATTTTTGGTGAGAAATAGTTTGTGTTTGGCTAATTAATTTAAAAAATATTTCTGAGCAACAATTAGTGTTTCATAGAGCTTTTAAAAACTGCTTCTAAGTGTATTTTTTTCAAAAGTATTTTTCAAAAAAGTGCTTTAGGAGAGAAGATATCTTTTTTGGTTCTTCAAAACTGCTTCTACTTCTACTCAAAAATATTTTTTTCCTTCTAAAAGTTTGGCAAAACTATTTAACTTTGAATTGGAGAAGCTTAATCGAACATGGTCTTAATTAGTTTTATAGTCAATAATGGAACTAAGGATTTTACAACAGTGATGTTACTCAACTTGGTCCCCCCTCCACCACCCCCCATTAGAGAGGGGGGTGCCTATTTTGTCATTAAATATTTCGGGATAAAGTTGATAATCAATTTAGTGGACATGAATTTCAACATCCTAGGTTAAAATTTTTAATGCAAGTGGTGCAATAACACAAGACCATTACACATATTTCTTGAATTTATTAGGCGAGCAAGTCTGCCTACAAAAGCTAAATTTCCTCTGCATGGACAAAAAAGAACTTGTTTTAGCTCAGGACTAATGTCTAGTGACAGAATTAGGCAATTTAGACTAGAAGTTCTGAGCTAATTAATTAATTCCATTTTCTTTTTCCAGTGTGCCAGTGCAAAAATTGCTATAAAAAGGACGAAAAAGCACAACAATACCCCAGAATTTTCTATGCATAGACAAAGATGCCCTAATCATAAATAAAAGGATCTTGGATTATAATTGTTTTAGTACGAAAGTAGCATCTCAGAATGATTAAAATCATTGAATTTGGTGGGCTATACCTTTCAAAACACTGTTAAATATGTATAATTTTTCAAGAGCATACACAGCGACAGAGGGTAGTGTAAGGATTGAGACAAAAATGGTTTGTTCTAGCAATGGCCTACTTACACTGATTTGCTACGAATTTGGGTCCTCCTTTGCCGACACTTCTAGAGGCCTTTTTGGCCAAAAATTATATAACTGTGTTCAGGACAGCTTGCACTAATCTCGATTATTCTATCAAATATTTGTTATTTTTTACCGGCATAAATATTAAATAGTTTGCCCGCCAAACTTTGATAGACGAAATAACATCACTTTAATATTTTTTTTGTCTACGATGAGATTTGCGTTTTGGCCATGTTTACTTGCTCAATTTTTATCAACATATTATCAAACTTGGAGTGCCAACTGAATTGAAAAAAAAACCCAGGGGTTTTAGGTCTTCATGACTTTTTACAATGTTGAATTTAAGAAAATATTTTTTTTAGATCTCTTACGTGTAAAAGAAAGATCTCTTATGTGTAAAAGCAAATCTCTCATGTATAAAAAAGATATGGGGTCATAAAACTAAATACAAGTTTGTAATGGGCTACAAAACCAATTGACCCTGGAACTTATCATTTACAAATAAAAAATTAAATGAATTATTTATAATAAATAATTAAATTTATTTCTCTCTTTTAAATAATACTAATTGTTAGTTGTATATTTACTGTCATTTTTCGCAATTTGACACTTAAAAATACTTTTTTAAAAGATTGGCAAACATAAGTTGCTTATTAAATATTACAAAAAATATTTCTCAAATGAATTAACTAAACACAAGCTGCTACTCTCCAAAACTATTTTTTCAAAAATTACTTATGAACAAAAGTACTTTTCAAAACAAGCAATTGTTGAGAGTTTGGCCAAACGGACTCTTTGAAATGGAGAAACTTCTAGTAAACTGAGAAGTTAAACAATAAACAGCTCTAAAGGTTGAAATGGCAATTTTTCCTCCTATTTCCACTTACATTAATATAATGGATCTCTACATTTATGACTCGAAAGTAGGGCCTACGAATGAAACCGACAAATCGCACCAATTCGATAATTCGAGTCAAACCGAAAAAAATAACCTGACTATGGTTTGGTTTGATTGGTTTGGTGTTGGAAAAAAAAATCCGACGATATTTGGTTTGGTTTCGTTTTAACTAAAAAAGTCAAACCTAAACTAAACCAACCCGACATTATATGTATAGAAGTTTTAAATATATTTAATACATGAAAATATTTATTGTAGTATAATTTATAAATACTATTTCTTAAGTTTTTTCATAATTTTATCTTTTAACGTATTATTTCAAGCTTGGACTAAAAATTTTTGGATGCTCCATTAAGCTTTATAGTCCATAAATATCAGTAACTCAAATAAATTCTAAATTAAACCAAAATCAAATCAATACTAATGATAATAAAAGACATTCAATTCAATTGTATCTATTTTTTTAGTTTTTCCATGGTTTAGATAAAATGCATAACTTATTTTTCTTTTAGTGTTTAGTCATGTAAATAATAGTACTTATTAGTTGTACTTATTTTAGCAACTTATTAGTAATTTTAAATTATGTTTGTTTTCATTATGGCTTATTAATAATATTTATTTTATGCGATTCTTATCTTTATTGTTGAATATTTTAGTACAATGCCATGAATCATCTCATGTTTATGTTATTTTATTAAAAAAATACCTTATATAGTTCTGTCTTACTAGGATTAAAGAAATATTTGGAGCACAAATTCTATGTTTTGTGCTATGAAGACTTTATGAAGAAAAAAAATCCGAAACAACGAACCCAAAAAACCGAGATTTAAAAACCCGGATTTTATTGGTTTGGTTTGATCTTTATATTTAATAACCCGATATAATTAGTTTGGTTTGATAACTAAAAAATTCGAACCAACCCGACCTTTGTATACCCCTACTCGAAAGTATGCGACATCCTTTTTAGAGCCTCATCTTCTTAGCTTCTTCCTTTTCCTTTTTTTCTTTTTTCTTTTTCTGTTTGACTTTTTGTGAATTTATATGGGGAGTACGTCCATGAAATTTCCATTAAAGGATTTTAATAAAAATATAGGTTTTAAGGTTATATATTAGTCGTGATTTTAGTAGTACAAATTTACTGCATAGAATGTAAAAGCGCATCTAGAAAAGGTGAAGGTTTAATAGGAACANTATATATAATCCTAGTAAAACTCATTTATTATTTTTTAGTATTAACTTGAAGTAGTTATAGGAACTCATATAGAATATTTCTGGCGCACACAATTGACGCTGAAATCTCTCTCATTTTTTAAATTATAACTGTAATTGAAAAATATATAAGTATAATATGTATTAAATATGTTTATTAAATAAATATCACTTGATATATAATATTCGAAAATAGTACTTGTAGGATGTCGATTGATGTAATTCGATCAAACTAGCCATTTGTGATCTTATACCCTAGAAAAGAAAAGTTTTTTTAAAAAAAATAAAAGAAATAAAAATGAAAGATTTTTTGAAAATTCATTGATCGTGATTCTTTAATTTTCNTATATATATATATATATATATTCATCAT